AAACTAGGGGGTAAGGGGGAGCAGAAAGCAAGCAAAGGCCACCCTTAAAACAGCCACATAAATAGCTACAAATCTAATAAAGTTTTTATGTACAAGAAAAGCACATCTTCCAGAAATAAAACCTATTCAAAACATTATGCAAACAAGTCAATAGGGCGTCCCATACACCTCCTGCCCTATAGTAGCCTGTACTTTTTGTTGTTATTATGTACTGCATGCAGCCGTGCTGGACGCCTCAGATATACTGCGAGTAGGCAACCCGTACAATAAGAAAACAAGATGGGGCCAATCGCACACCCTGTCTGTAGGTCTTGGATTCAGTCAAACTTTCGAACGAAAACGAAACGACATATTTTTGTCTAGTCATCAGTTTGACAGAACTGACGGTGTGCTGGGCTAGGCAGGGCGGGCTACGCCCGGCGGTGCGCTCGCACCCGCAGCCCGTCCTTGGGCCTGATGATGAGCTCTCCGTGCAGCGTCAGGTCCTCCCTGCGGTCCAGAGACTCGAAGCGCAGCCTCCGGAAGAGCGCCGACAGGACGGACTTCTCCTCCAGGAGCGCGAACTTCTGGCCGATGCAGTTGCGGGGGCCGGCGCTGAACGGCACGTAGGCGAACGGGTGGCGGCCGACGCAGTTGTCGGGGAGGAAGCGGTCCGGGTCGAACACCTCGGGCTCCGGGAACACCTGCGGGTAAGAGATCAGGGTTTGAAACATAGGCGCGCCTGGTAAATGGAAAATGTACCCCCGCGATAGCATTTTGTCTAAGTGGGGTAATTAATTGTACAATATATAGCGTGCACCAAAAGCTTCTATGACGACCAACCCTGAATTCTACTGTCTTCTACAGGTGTCTGATTTTTTTTTTTTTTTTAGGAAAGTGGAAAACCTTGATAAATTCCCATAATTTTAGAAATCCTGCAGAGATTTTAAGGCAAGCTCCTCAATCAGAAAACTGAGTATGACATTTTTACTTCCTTAAAATGCACAACATGAGTTTTCTCAAACTAGGGGAGTTTCCTCAAAGTTTTCACCTCTTCCTAAAAACATCTGACTGACATGGTTTTTACCATGTGAAGTGCCGCATGTAGTGCGCGGACACTCACCTCGGCGTTCCGGTGCAGCATGTAGATGACGAGCATGGCCGTGGTGCCGGCGGGCACGGTGTACGGACCGATCTGCGTGTCCTCGCGGAGGCTGCGCGCGAAGGCGGGCACGCTCGGGTACAGCCGCAGCGCCTCCTTGATGCAGCACTCGAGGTACTTCATCTCGGCCAGGTCCTTCATGGTGACGCCGCGGCCGGGGTCGTCCGCGAAGATGTCGTCCAGCTCGGCGTGCACCTGGCGCTGCACGTGCGGGTCGCAGCCGATGAGGAACAGGCACCACGAGATGGCCGCCGACGTCGTGTCGTGGCCCTCGAACATGAACGTGTCCACCTCCTCGCGGATGTCGTCGTCGGACAGCACCGCACCGCCCTGGCGGCAGATAGAGAGGCCGTCAGCGTCGTGGGGTGGGACTCCGGGGCGTCCTCGAGGACGAGCGTGCCAACGCGCGCGGCTGGGCGCAGGGCGGGCCGCCGGCTCCGCGCGCCTGCCTGGCGGGTCGGACTACCTAGCGCTTCGCAGGCGCTATAACTGGCACGCCCTCTGAGTGGCGACTGTCTTCCGTCTCTCTCGGTCTCATTACGTCATACGGCCGCAACAGAGACCTGAGGTTTGGAGCTAAACCGAGCTCACCCGCCGCCCGCCGCCCGTGCCCCGTTGCTGTATGCCTCTCAGCCTCACTCAAGAAATCACAGTGCTCATCACAACTTTGCATTCCGGGATCAAAAGAAGTACGCCGTGAGAAAAAATTACATCAACCTTTAAAAAATGATGACGTAGTTTTTCTCTGCTGTTTCTCTCAAGGGGTAGCCAACTCAAAAAAAAAAAAAATGTGTACAACGTATTTAAAAAAAATTATGGCTACCAAGGGCTTACCAGGTGAATACCTGGTGAATACCTGGTACATACCTAGTGAATACCTGGTGAATACTTGATGATTATCTGTGGATTTCAAGCATCTGTGCACACCTGATTGGTTGGTTACCACGCTCACCTGCGAGGCCTCGATGAGCAGGTCGAGGAAGGCGAGCCTGCGCTTGGAGCCGAGGTCGTCCTCGCCGCCGCGGCCGGGGCGGCCCTTGAGCCGCGCCTCGTCCAGGATCTCGGCCTTGCGCTCGCGAATCACCTTGGTGGAGAAGCCGTGCAGGTCGGCCAGGCAGCGCTGCTGCCGCCGGTACATGGGCGTGAGGTGGAACAGCCAGTCCGGCTGGTACCACACGGTGGACTGGCGCGTCAGCACGATCTCGGCCATGTCGTACACGGCGCGCACGTAGGGCGACTCGCTGTCCACCTGCGCGTAGGGATTTAAGTTTTACAAAAAAGTGTTTTCAGGAAGTTTTTGAAGTTATTTAAAAAAGTCCTTAATTATTTCTTCATAAGTTTAATAGTTTCTCTTCAAATTTTTGGAGTTTTTATTTTTTTTCTAGAAAAGTTTTCAATTTTTCCGGGAGAGAATTTCTAAAGATTAAAATTCTGAACTTACCTGCGCGTTGACCTTGCGGCCCATGGCCGTCTCGCAGATGATGTCCAGCGTGCAGAGCGTGACGAGCGGGAACACGTTGAAGCCCTCGGGGTCGCCGGCCAGCGCCTCCATCTTGTCGGCCAGCACGGCCGCCTGCTCCCGGAACACGTCGATGAAGTCGTCGAGGATGCGGAAGTGGAAGGCGGGTGTCAGCACCTATGGACGCCGAACAGGGGGCGTGAACGTTGTGTGCGTCGAAGAAGGTGAGTGTAAACCATGTATGGGTGGACGGGTGCCTTGTTTCATGACACCTGACTTTATGAATTCCCATAAGTTTTTTTTACACGCAGGGTATGTTTATAATACCGTCTGAAAACTCGCAGAAGGAATACCGACCCCTAAACCCCACCCTAAACAACGTGAACTTCCCGAGCGGGCGCTGCTCACCTTTCTCCGGCGGTGCCACTTGGCGCCCGAGCTGGTGAGCAGCCCGGTGCCGAGCCACGGCCGCAGGTACAGGTACTCGTCGCTCTTGTCGGTGAGCCGGTTGGAGCCGAGCACGGCCTCGACGGCGGCGGGCGAGCTCAGCACCACGTACGGCTGCGAGCAGAACCACGTGCGGCAGATGCCGTGCTGCCGGCCGAAGAGCTGCGTGATGCCGTTGAGCCGGCCGAACAGCTCGTCGTGCTCCACCGTCTGCTCCAGGGTGTTGCCGAGGATGGGCAGCGCGAACGGCCCCGGGATGCGCTCGATGAGGGCGACGAGGCGGCGGCGCCGCCACCAGCGCGCCGTCAGCAGCGCCACCAGCACCGCGAGCGCGACCGCCGTCAGCGGGGACATGGCGAGGAGGCCGCGGAGCTCTTCTGGGACCAACGCGCTATGCTGTAGCGTCAACGGTGCAAACACAAATTACGTCATAATACTGCGGGGCTCTTCTTTTTCTCGTTTCACTTTCTATGAAGCAATGATGAAATGTATCCATGCGGATTGTTATCCGCCATAACGGGCGTAACGGGCCGTTAACCCCCCCCCCCCTCCTCCCACCCCCTAATTCAACTTCGATAAATGTAAATGGTACCTGATTTCTGGCGATATGTCCGCGCGTGGCTGCGGGGTGGGGTGCCGTCACGAGCGGCCGGGCGAGGCGAGAGAAGACTGTCGAATGTGTGCACGCGCCCCCGCCCGCGCCCAGGGGCTGCGGATGAGACCGAGCGGACAGCTTTCACCGGCGGGCCGGCAACATGCCGCGGGCACCGGGACCGGGACAACCACCTATACACCCCACCGGGCACGCGCTCTCTCTCTCTCTCTCTCCCCCCCCTCCTCCCTCCCTCCCTCCCTCTCACTCTCTAAGACACACACACACACACACACATTTCCTAACTCGGGTGCCAGTCGTTTAAAAGGGTTTGAGTTTGAGTAGAGTGGGCTGTAGAAGAAAAATATTGATCGATGGATGACCGATTGGTTTACTGATTTATTGATAGGAAATTCAGTACAGCCGCAGTTGTCAAATTAAGATCCCGGCGGTTGTGGAGAAGCTCGGGGTGGGCTGCCTGTTCCGCGCAACGTTTCAAACAGCGCGCCACTCTGCTCGGCTCCAACGAGGGCAGCCGCTCGGCGCTCGGCTGCGCTCGGGTGGCGTCGGGCGGCCCGACCGCCGAGACCTCCGCGACGGCGACACACGAACGCGCCCGCCTCTCTCTCGTCGCCTTCTTCTTCCTGCCCTTCTTCTTGTTTTCCGCGAGCGAAGTAGGCCGTCGTCAGTCGAGCTCGTCAGCCATGTTTGTTATTGTCTGAGTGTGGTGGAACGTTGTGACGGCTCCCCGTGCGCGCCCCTCCCGAAGGACATCGTTTCGCCGTGTGTCCTGGACTGGCCGCGGCCTCGACTGGCCCTTGCCTTTCCACCGCGATGAGTGTCTAGGAAATTCAGCAAGATCGCGGCCCCCCAGGCCCGCGCCGCGCCGCGCGAGCGCCCAGGCGCTGCAGCAGCTGAGGGTCGAGCTGACAGGTCGCGGGGCCCAGGCAGGACCCGTTTCGTCGACATCTTCCAACGAGAGTTCTTCAGGGCCTCTGTGGCCTACTCGCGCCGCAACCTGGCCGCCAACAGGGAGGGCGCCGCCGCCGCCCCCGCCGCGCCCCCGGCCCAGGCCCAGGATGAGGCCCCTATGCTGGAATGGGGGGAGGAGGGGGACATGTCGTTCTACGACTCTGACCGCTTTGAGGAGGACTCGTTGTGCAGCTGGAGCAGCGAGCCCGAGTCGCTCTGCAACAACTGGAGGGGCTGGAAGAAGCCGACGCCGCCGCAGGCAACCGTCCACCACTACAACAGCAACGCCAAGAAGTTCTACGACGGTGAGTCGTGTGGTGGTGCACACCCCCCATTGTCCCTGGCGAGGACCCCGCCCCCTCCCCCGTGCCCCTTCACCCCTCGCCCGATCGGGGGCGAGCTGGGGGCGCACGGGGCCCCGTTGCACCCGGCCCGCCCCCCTCGGGCCCACCACCCCTAGAGTGAGCAGGCGATGATCTCCAACTCCAACTGAAAATGGTGGACCGTTTTCCACCATTTGTGCAGTACAGTTTCGATGTGGAGTTCTTGCAGAAGAGGAACCCTAAGCCGCCCTGGACGGGTAAAAAGTGCAGTGTGTCTGCGGTAGTAGGGGCGAGGGGTGCGCCGGGGGCGGGGCGTGTGTTTGACAGCTAGGCACAAATAGGACTCATGGCCTCTGTTGAGCAGAGAACCACAGGTCCTTCGTAAACCAGTGATATTTATGAGTCTACTTCTTCAAAATTATGCTGACAGTCTCAGTCGGCAAGAATTCATGTTTATTTTTGTAGACTGCTTGTTATGTGGGTGTAATTGTTTTTTCCATAATTCTCTAAGAGGTGTTTATTTTGTTTACAGATGGAGTCCCTTCCTTGACGGAGCTGTGCGCTAGGACTGTGGCGTCACACATACCATTTGAACTGGTTGAACATGTATACCCTCCAGTTCCCGAACAGCTCCAGTTACGAATTGCGTATTGGAGCTTTCCAGACAATGAAGAAGACATTAGACTGTACTCCTGTCTGGCGAATGGAAGTGCTGATGAATTTCAGAGAGGTGATCAGCTATACCAGAAACGTGCTATTAAAGATCCCCTACAGATAGGTGAGTATAAATAGTTCATTTTTAAGGGTAACTGCATTTTTACTTCCCTTAGAAAATTGTTTTAACTAAAGCTGGTTATATGCTTGACAGGTTTCCACTTAAGTGCAAGTGTATATCCACCGTCAAATGTTAATCCTCTTGATGCAACCTACAATGTAGCTGTAACGTTTGACAGAAGAAGAATTACATCATGTAACTGCACGTGCACATCAACAGCATATTGGTGCTCTCACGTTGTAGCAGTTTGTCTGTATCGTATTCACTTGGTAAGAATTAAGTTTCTTCACTGTAAATTTGGTATTGTTTCAACTTTGATTTTATGTATATATTTATTATACTTGTGTGTTAATTGTGAATTTTATTTAACAGTCCAATCAAGTGTGTCTACGTGCCCCTGTCAGCGAATCTCTATCTCGACTGCACAGGGATCAGTTACAGAAATTTGCTCAATATCTAATAAGTGAACTTCCTCAGCAAATACTCCCAACTGCTCAACGTCTTCTTGATCAATTGCTATCTACTCAACAAACTGCCATCAACTCTGTAAGTTGTTTTTTTCTGTTCACATTAGTATTATGAAGTATTATGAAGTATTGCTTTAGTATTACTATGTGTGTTTCTCTTTGTTTTGTTTTGTTTTTCATTTTTGTTTTTAAACATTTTTTGTAGGTTTGTGGGGCTCCTGATCCCACTGCTGGTGCCTCAGTTTCTGATCAAACCTCATGGTATCTGGACGAGAAAACACTTCATGACAACATTAAGAAAATTCTTATCAAATTTTGTGTGCCTGCTCCTATAGTATTCAGGTGAGATGATATCTTGTTTAATTCTAGAAGTTAGATTATCTATGTATATTTATTTTTTTCGATTGCTGGATTTACAATGACAGTGACCTGAACTTTTCTTTCTTTACAGTGATGTGAACTACTTGAGCACCACTGCACCTCCTGCTGCAGCAGAATGGAGTTCCCTGCTAAGACCTCTCAGGGGAAGAGAACCGGAGGGGATGTGGAATTTATTGTCCATTGTCAGAGAAATGTTTAAACGTAATGATCGTAATGCTATTCCATTGCTGGAAATTATTACTGAAGAAGTCCTAGCATGTGAACAGGTCAGAAAAAACACAATATCCAGCTACCCCAGAATTACTGGTAGTTAGTCCTAGAAATAGAAATTGAACACTGATGTTAAATGTTTTTCTTAGATTCTTCTTTGGTGGTTTAATACTAAAGTTGCCTTGCACAATGGTACTTCTGGACATGGTGGAGGAAAACATGGCAGTGTCAACAGCAATAGCCAAGCAAGTCAGCATGCATGTTCATCATTATGTGATGAAATAGTTATCTTATGGCGATTGGCTGCTTTGAACCCAGGGCTTGGTCCTGATGAAAGAGAGTTGCTCAAATCTCAGTTCCATGATTGGCATATTAACATTGTTAATAAAGTACGTAAGCTCGAGTTCTTCTTTGATTCATTATTCTGATTACTCTGCCTGATTATTAACGCTGTTGTGTGTTATTTGTATCTCAATAGGTAACAAAAGCTCGTGGGATGCCCTCCTCTTTCTCTAGTGGAGTACAATTTAATGGCAACCAGAACAATGGAACACCACCGTCAACCATTTCCAATTCGAAGATGAATGGTTTCCGTTCTGACTTGGAAGTGTTCCCAGGGTTCAGACCAGCCTACGAAGCCTGTTATCTAGACTGGGAGGACTACCCAATAACTGGCATTACATACCAGCATGGAGTGAGTGAACTGTATCACTGCCCTTTCACATGTTTCCGCCATGCTGGAGATGCAAGCAGATCCGATAATGTTGTGAATCAGGTAAGATCCATCAGATGAAACTTTGATAAATTGTGAAGACATAAGATGTTTCCTATTATAAATTGTTTCTACAACTACTTCAATTGAATTGTAGGTAAACTCTTCACAAGCAGTGCTAAATTGTCAACTACCCAATACACACCATCCTCATCACTTTCATCACCACAATCCCCACCTTCAGCACAATAACACTCAACAAAGGGCTCCAAGACCACTGCCTTACAATGAATTCCCATCTTTTATGGGAAAGTAAGTATCTAGATGGTCCATTCTTTTAAAATCCTTTTTTGCTTTTCTTATTAGAGAGTTAATCCAACTGTTGAATTGATAGGTGCTCGTTTGGTATGGGCTTTGCAAATACCTTGGTGCGTGCTAATGGCAACAGAAGCAGTGTCAGCAGTGAGGGATTCTGTGAAAATGATGCAGAAGGTGAGCTTTTACCAATGCCTATCAACTTGCCAATGGTTCTGAACACAGGGAGAGGAAGTAACTCTTCATCCAGTAGTGGCAATAACAGCAGTAGCTCAAGTAACAGTGGTGACCGAAATCACGCTAGAGGTGGAGCTCGCCCCAAAGAGTACCCCGCCTGCACTGAAGACGCCAATTGGCAAAAAGAGGCCAAAGAACTTGATATCGAAAATATTAATTGCTTTGGGTTTGATGAAGTTGAAAATGCATTCTTGTCAGCCTCAAGATCTGGAAATTACCCGAAGGAAACAAAACGGACATCAAACAGCACTGACGATGAGGATGTTGGGCTGTTTGATGTAGCATGTTCTTCAACAACAGATCAACAGAGAGAGCCCTTGAAATGTACCTCGCTAGATGCACCCTCTGATCATTCCAAAGGTGGCCAAGAGCCTCGGGTTGAGGCTGCCGAGACGGATGAGGCAGCTGAGCCTAGCAATCCTAACGATTATTCAGGGGCGGGTGAGGAAGAGGGTGCTTGTGGTCCTGCTGTTGCAAGTCCAGAAGATACCGATCCAGAGAGGCGCCCATCAAAAGACGACTCTGTTTCTTCAACATCAGATTCTTACCATTATTCAGGCGATGATTACACTGTGTATTATTATGACACCAAAGCTGTCAATGAACCTGATAAGAATGTGAGTCGTGAAACCGATGGTGATAAGAAAGATGATAAAAATCGGTTATCACCAACTATTGATAAATTATTGGACAATGTCAAGAAAGAAACTGACCCATGGGAGACTCTGTTTGCAAGGTATATTAGTTGTGTCCAAGTAATCGGATTTTTCAATGAACTTGCATTTTTTTTAAATGTTATCTTTGTTTAGGGCTGAGGGTCTTCATGCTCATGGCCACAGTAAGGATGCTTGCACACTTGCTGTGCAACTTGCAGAAGAACTGCTTGCCAACCCCCCAGAGCTAATGATAGATGTTCCACCATTGATTAGCCGGGGAAAGAGGAAGAAGGTGATAACTTTGCTTTTCTGCCGTTTTTAGTGTCTATCTTCCCTTTGCACTCTCCTTTACATATCTTTGTTATAGCAGGTTAATCCAGCTTCTCATAATGTTAGCTGTTTAGCTACTGCCACCCTATCCAAGTGCGCATTTTTGTGCCAAGTCCTGGCAGAAAATCGTGATTATTTTCACCTAGCTTTTCGAGTAGGTCTTTATGGACTGCTGATGGCCAGACCCCCTGCAAGTACTAAACCACTTGAGGTAAACCTATTGTGCTACCACTTGTATGTCAGTTTAATTCCTCGCAACCATTCCAAAAATTGTATGAACTTAATGTTTGTCACTCCAGGTAAAGCTGACCAACCAAGAAATTGAACTTGTTGGGCTTTTGAAAAAGATTCCATTGGGTAATGCAGAAATTTCTATTGTACGGGAGCATGCACAAACACTGAAAGATGGAACATTAAAAAGCAGAGGGGAAGCTCTCCTACCAACTATGCTGGCCTCATTTATCTTTGAAGTCCTCGTCTCTCCTAACAGTAACAATGGTAAGTATTGCCTGTAAAGGTTTGAGAAATCTATTTATTACATGTTCCCCAACCATGATAATTCTTCTCCGTTCAGGTTGTGCAGTCCGAGATTTCAAAGGACAAGTTATGTCAAATTCATCTTTGCGGTGGACATCAGATGAACCTCTTGGCTTTGAGGCTGCAGTTGCTGCAATGGGCTTAAAAGCAAACGTGTCAGAGGCAGACCATCCTTTGCTCTGTGAGGGCACTCGAAGACAGCGGTAAGTTAATATTAAGTACTGCACAATGTTTTGATCAGTTTTTGTTGTTTATTAATTTTAATTTTTTTGAAACTTTCTGCAATACATGGGAATTTTTGTTGTTTCATTACAGTGGGGATCTTGCGATTGCTTTACTTTATCATTACAAAGATGACCCTGAAAAGGTTGCAAGAATAATGGACAAACTTCTTGATAGAGATGTTCACCAACTTCTTAAGACCCCATTGCTTCCCTGTTACTACACTGCTAATCCACCAACAAGAAGTCTGGTAAGCAATGAGATCTTAGTTCCTTTACTTTTACTACAAATTTGTATTTCATTTTCTTGTTCTGTGTTTTGTAGAATCGTTCAAGAAGGGATGATGTAAGACAGAGAGACGCAGTTGTAGCAGCATCCTCAAATCTTTCTGGAGTTACTACATCAACAGCTGTGTCTTCTGCTTCTACGCCTTCTGCGACAGTGGCATCGGCAGCTACTGCAGCTGTTTCAACACAAGCAGCTGAAGCAGGAGCTTTTCCTGAAATACCCATTGGTATGAATCGTTGTTGTATTGCACTCTGGGGAAACCTCCCTTATTTTAAACTTTAAGGATATGGTTGGAATGGTTTTGTTTAAAAAATGAGAAAGCTTTGCTCTGTCATAACTTTTTGATTTTCTGTTTTGCTTTATCCTTAGCTGTTGGATCTGCAACAGGCGGGAGCCGACCTCACAGTACACCTAGTGCTGAGCTGGATCAGAGTCTTGCCTCATTGTCATTGAATAGCCCTCATGCCGCACCAGGTCCTAGTGGGCCTACTGTGGCTGTCTCAACACCCAACATAACACCAAACACTGCCTCAACGTCTAGGTCAAAAGAAACTACACGGTGAGACCAAGATTTTATTATTATTATTGCAGTCTTTATTTTGTTTGTATTTTATACAAAAGTCATTTTTTTAAATATATTTTTATTGTGTTTCTCTATTAGGTACAAGAATAAAAGAACATATCCATCTTTACCAAATCAACCCTCAGAATCAGGAGCCCATTTCATGTTTGAATTGGCAAAGACGGTACTTGTGAAAGCTGGTGGCAACAGCAGTACATCGCTTTTCACTCAAGCTACCACTAGCACGGGCAACCACCATGGTCCCCACCGAGCTTTGCATATGTGTGCGTTCCAAATTGGATTGTATGCACTTGGTTTACATAACTGTGTATCTCCAAATTGGCTGAGTAGAACATATTCCTCACATGTGTCATGGATCACAGGTGATACTTTTTTGAAGAAAGTTATTCCTTTACAGTGGCTTTATCTTTTGAACTTTTTTCACACCATCTTTTCTATTTAAAGGTCAAGCAATGGAAATTGGTGCGCCAGCAATATCTTTCCTGATAGACACATGGGAAGGTCACCTGACTCCGCCAGAAGCTGCAAGCATCGCAGACAGAGCGTCTAGAGGCTGTGACCCTAACATGGTCTCAGCTGCCGCTGAGTTAGCATTATCATGCTTGCCTCATTCTCATGCGCTTAATCCCAATGAAATAACTAGAGCAATTTTACAGGTAATTTTTTTTAAAAAATGTTTTTTATTCTCTTATTTTTTCCAAAATTGTAGAGGTGGTTTCCTAATTTTGTCATATTTGTTGCAGTGTAAGGAGCAAAGTGATCAAATGCTAGAACAATCTTGTCTCACAGTTGAGACTGCTGCTAAGGGAGGTGGGGTATATCCAGAGGTCCTTTTCCAGGTAGCAAGATACTGGTATGAACTCTTCATGAAGGTAATTATTCACCAAAACCACCTGAGAAAACTGTTCTTTCAGTATGTTCAATTGTATCATCTTTGTTTTTCTACTCTCCATTTCAGTATTCTTCAGGAAGTGAACTGCCTATCGAATTTGATATTCCTGAACCCGTCTTTGCCATGGAAGCAAACAGTATGATGGTGCTAGACCCAGGCCCTGCAGCTGCTGGCTCTGTCCCAAACATGGGTGGCGTTGGAGTGAATGGCATGATGCAGGGTGGCATGCAGGGTGGCCCGCCTCAGAATATGGCTATGATGCCTATGCCTTTCGGCATGGCACCCTATGGGTTTGCTGTTCCCAACAACCATCATCCCATGTCCAATGCTTTCAATGTACCTCCGCGTATGCCACCGCCACCGGCTTTCCAATGGTTGCCCCCCAACCAATATCAATACCCACCCAATTCAGTAGCAAATGCCCATCAGGGAAACCATCCGGGGACTCACCCGACATATAACCAATTGCCCCAACAAGGGATGCAGTTCTATCCTAACATGAACATGCGTCAAGGAGGTCCACAGCCCGTTCTAACACACACTGTTTTCGAGCTGAGAGCACCTGGAACAGGATCACCTCAGAGTATTGGAGGACAAGCCTCATCTCAACAACAGGTGCCTCAGGTATGGACGTGATTGTTTCTTATTATTGAAGTTTAGGCTTTATTCATCATTTTACCAAGATTGTTTAAAAACTTTCTTAATCTTTCACTTTTGTTTATTCTCTGTAGATGAACATTCCACCAAGTTTGCGTCAACTCCAGATACCTTTGAGAAACGTGCAGCAAATGCCTTTGTCTGCATTCCAGACATTACAGTCAGTTCAAGGATTGCAACAAGGCATGCCCCAGGGAATGCCCCAAAATGTCCCTCAAACTGTGTCTCAGAACATGCAGCAAGGAATGCCTCAAGGAATGCCTCAGGGGATGCAACAAGGAATTCCTCAAGGAATGCATCCAGAACTGCAAATTCCTGTTCCTCAGCAACCACAAGTAAGACTGAACTTGATATTTTTATCTCCGCTCTCTGGTATACAACATACTGGAACTGTTATTATAGAAGGCTGGAAGGTGATGGGGCTTCCTTGTAAATTTCTTTTGGTGATAGTAACCTGTGTTTTTTGATGCACGACTTCATGGTGTGGTTTTACTGTTTCACTATCTGTCAGTACCCATGTGTTGTACTCTTACAGTTCCTATACTGGTCAAAAATTTCTGAAGACATTGGTTTAGTTTTCGTTTTGATGTGTGGGTTCAGCCAGACATGTCTTTGTGAATGAAAATACCTTGGAACTCAACAGTTTTGTCATAGACTCAATATGGCGTGCGTGAGACAGTTCTTAGTACCCAGACTTGTCCACTAGCTTCACGCAATGTGCTCCATCGTTAAGAATATAAGCATTTTGAAATCAAAGTTCTCTGCATGTGGAGTTGTGTCCGTGCTAAAATATGCTTGGGACAAGCATGCCTGTTGGCTTTCCAGTGGAAAAGCTTTCTTCTTGAATGTTGACAACAGCTCTCGAAAGAACTTTGAGGTCTGATGTGGTTGTTGAAACGGAGCCAACCTTAAGCATAAACAGCCTGCTTTAGAAGGGAGGGGATATTCTTTATACAAAAGACATGTTTTCCGTGCCACCCCCTGCCTGTATGGTGCTAATGGTTGTTGCTGCTTGCCACTAACACTGTTATGGTGATTGTGGTTCGCACAGTCGGCTCAGCCAGACCAGGACGGGGCCCAGCCCATGGCTCTGCCCATGGCGGGGGCGGCCGAGGACGAGGGCGGTGAGGCTCGGGGCCCGCGGGGCGCCCAGCAGTTGGCCCGTCTGTTCGACGTGGTGCACCCGCGCGAGCGACAGCTCTACCTGCTGCCGGCGCTCGCGGATGCCGCCTCGCTCGCGCTCGAGGGCCGCGAGTTCCCCTGCGAGGCCCTTGCGCACATTCCGCCCAACCCGCCTCAGATCTCGGTCGTGGAGCCCAGCGAGTTGGCAAAGTCAGACATCCCCGAGGTGCGGAGGCTCGCGCTGCGCGGGGAGCCCATGATTCAGGTGGTTCACTCGAAAGGCCCGTTTGTCGTGGCGGTCCCGTTGAACCCGGTCAACTCGCCGGCACAGGCGCTGCTGCCGAACGTACCTCCGGTAAACCCGCTGGCACTCGTCCCTCAGCAGTGTCAGGTGCGTGTCAGCAGTCAGTCAGTTGTCAGCAGTCAGCTGCCTGTGGCCCGGCCCGCCAGCCGCCACCTCAGATCCTGTTTTTGCTTGCCTGCTTTCCGTTCCTTCAATTATGCTTGTTTGTCAACCGACAAGGGGAAATAGGCCGAATAAAAAGTAATTATGTTCCTCTGTGAACTTTATCTCCCTAGACTTCATGCAAAGTTCTGAGTTGCTTAAGTTTTATCAGAGTTTCTTGATAGAAGAGCAGTGAAGCTAATCAAAACTCTAGAGTGGGGGCGGGGGGTGGGAAATCGCATTATTGGAGCCTACTTCCCCTTATCAACCAATTTGGGATTTTGGATGTACTCTCTTTTTCCCCTTCCTTTCCATGGCTCTTGCACGTTGCTGTGTTTTTGTGTGTAGGAGTCGCACTATTTTCATCGGCAATTTTTGTTAATGCTTGCAGTTTTTCTCTCTCAAGATTTAGTGGAATATGCTGTGCATCCACACTTATATATGAGGAGAAGGTGGCTGAATATGTGTGTGTCAAATGTCCTTTTGTTTGCTTTAATTTTTATTTCCTGCAGCTCTTTCCAGTTGCCATGGTCAAGCTTAAATGAATGTCGTAACGCCCTCCCCCTTTTTTGGGCTCAAAATCATCAAAACATTAACTTTAAGAATATTTTTTATATCAAAAGGAATTTTCCCGCTAGCAAATTGGATCTACATCATGAAACTACATTTATATATGTCTACAGTTCATTAGGCCAGAAAAGTTTAGCTTACCATCTTTGGACTATTGCAGGCCACAATACTTGTTCATATCCAAGTGTTAGAAACCTGTTCACCTTTGCATGAACCCTCAATTGTAGCTGACTAAACTGTTATAGCTTTCTCTTACCAAACTGGGGTCATATGATGTTGAAGTTGTTATGTTATGTATGTATTAAAAACTTTTGAACTCATGTTGAATGAAGTGCATAACTTTTTAATTTTACAAGTTTTAGTATATTCTAATGTTTTTGCATTACTCAATCTAGTAATGAATGATTCAGAGGAACCAAAAATAATAAAAATGTCATCTACTTGTGAAAAATTCTAAAATTGAGCTGATCTATCTATCACTATGTAGCACTAGCTCAAAGATAAATTCAGATTCTGTGTTATGAACCATAGCATTTTAACTGTATTAGTTTTCTATTCAAACTTGCTTGGCCAAATGCTTTAGATGTGATTATTGGAGTATGTGCTGCCTATGTGCTATCTTACCCTCTTGTTTTTTTCTTCTTTCTCTTTTATCCTCTAGGTTCATCGGCATCAGCAGGGTTATACAGCTACACAATTGCGCTATCTTCTTGCTGCATATCGAGTTGGCATGCTGGCTCTGGAGACTCTGGCCCGAAGAGTTCATGATGATCGTCCTCAGGCCAAATATGCCAGGAACCCACCGTATGGGGAAGATGTGAAATGGCTTCTGCGAGTGTCTAAAAAACTTGGTTAGTTTACTCAATATATGTCATTTTTTTTACTAGTTTTTTTTGTTTTTTTGTTTTTTTGTTTTTTAGAAAAGTGTAAAAATTTTAATGTGTTGTGTAGGTAACCAATATCTGCACCAGTTCTGTGTTTGCGCTGTGAGCAGTATTGTGTCTCCATTTGTACTGCATGATGTTGCTTTGGAAGCAGCTCAGTTCTTAGCTCGGTTAAATCCAAGCATGGCAATGCAGCATCTGCGTTCTGCTCTTACGCCTTTGGTGCAGAAGTGCCAGCAAATGTAAGTCTTCAAGTTTGGTGTAACTCTCAGTATTATATGTGTTTTACTGAAATTTAATGATTTGTTTCGGTTTTCGTTAGGTACATCCAGTGTTTACATCAGAAGCTGTACCACTTGACTTCAGCAGACTATGAGGATTTTGTGAATATTGTCTGCTCAGCTCGAGCAGCATTCCAAATCACTCCAGAGGGAACACAACAATTTAAAGAATGGCTTCAGTCTATCAAGAGGTCTGTACAGTTGCATTCCAATCAGTTTGGTCTATCTAATGTGTTAACAGCTTTGACAATACCCAAATGTTTTCTTTTTCAAGGTCTAAGTCATGCAAGAAGGACCTTTGGGCCCAGATCAATGCTGGTCTGCAGGCTAAATGACAGTGGCCAGAAGTGGCCACTGCAATGTCCAGGTCGGCCACAGAGCCAGTTCTTGCAGTGGACTCAATCGCCAGTTTAGATCAAGAACCATTGGCAGCTGAAGTTTGAATTCTATTCTTAGCTTGTTCTCTTTAATACATGTGTGTATGTGACCTTGAAAGGTACACAACGCAACGCACACACATTCATTTTATTTCCACATTCACAACAGTGTTCTGGTTTGATTCAAACTATGAGTATGTTTTAACACTTCTGCAATTTTACTTTTAAAATTTCATCTCGCATCTTCACTTTACTTTATTGTAATGGTCTATCTGATGACCTGATAGTAGCTGTTCATGTTTCCAAAAGGGTGTTTCTTTCTTTCCTGACTGTTGTTTACTCCTTGTCATATTCATTACATATCTTGAGTTTTCTTCTACTTACAAGCAGATGTTGATGTTTATACATGATTGTTTTTGCATTGGGTTGTCATGCCTCTTATGGGCTCATATTTGCTTCTGATCTCAAAGTATCCTTGTCATTTTATTTTATTTTTATTTATGTGCACAGTAGTGCCCAATGGTACCAATTTCTTATTAAATTATTTTATCTCTTGTCTTCCATCCTTGCAATGTATAATTTTCATTATTCACCCTTCTAATTTCATACAGCATAGTGTACTTCATTTAAAAAGTAATTTATCACATCAACATATTGTCCCTACGTTTGTTAGACAAAATGATCTGATGTCTTGTTAATGACTGTTTTCTTTCTAGTGAAATTATTAAAATGTTGACATTTTTGCCAGTGGCAGGTGTGCAATATGGTTGTGTATTAAACTTTTATGTATATATGGCTTTGTTGTAAATGGTTATTACTTAGTAAGAATATTCATTAATCTAATCTACTCCAATTGATGCTAATATGATAGTACATATAGTGTTTGATGGTAAATAATTCTAGTTGTTGAAAATTACCCACATTTATTTGTCCCAAGGATCTCAAAGTACGTGGGAATTTCATTCTCACTTTTCACTTCAACTTTTGTTTTTGTACCTGGGCTCTTTTGGTGGGACAGTTTTTTATAGATTGACATGAACATTCGTTAAATTTACTTCAAATGAACATTTTCTTTCTCTTACATAAAGTTGAAGGGAAATTCTGGATCTTTTCATATCTTAAAACTTGCTTTGCATTGTCCATTTTGTGTCTGAAATACTAAAGCTCTGTTCTCTTCAATTATTCCTATAGGGTAATTGATGATGGTCCTTTTGAGTTTTTTTTGTTTTTTTTGGAGAGTGATGCATTAAGAAGATTTGATTGTAACGACATGGACTGATCTCTGATAGATGCTTATAGATTTGAATTTTTTTTTACTGGCACTCGTTTGTGCCATTGTTAATGAATATGTATGTTAGTTGTTATGTGACTCATGACACACTAGTTGTTGTTTGTTTTTCTGACAATTTAATTTAGATAAATTATAATTATAGCACTAATGATCTTCTTAAAACTGTTTGTATCTGTGATTTTACAACTTTAAGGAAGTTTACTTATTTATTTGTTAAGTAAGCAGTATACTTTTGAATGCGTAAAGGTATGATGGCATCAGATCACTACTAAATTTTTGTAACATTTTAAGGTAGTTCCTCTTTCCCTATTGGAAAAGGTTGAAAAAATGGCTGCGAGATTTTTTCCAGTCCTGTTGTAGATAATTGTGTAACCTCTTGAAGACTTTAATTTTTAATGATGTTAGGCTCATAAATTTATTACAGACTTCATGATTTTTTTGTTAGTTCCTGTCATTTATCTGAACACTTGAAAGGGAGGTGATTCTTTCTGCAATGGAGTTATTGAAAATTTTGATTGATTCTGGATCCTTATTTCTATGGAAAATAAAAAAAAAAAAGTTTTCTCTTAGTGTGTCATGTTTTGATGGAGTTTGTTGGAATATGACTTACAGGCTGCAAGTAAAAGTGTTTCAGGATGGTATTGATCAGCTTGATTGTACTAAGTAGGACCACAATTTCAGAAGAGAGAATTCTTATTTGATCAGATATGCAAGTGGTCATATTTTTTTCCCAGAATTGTATATATGTTACCGAGTGTGACAAACTTATTCTTAAAATGGCTTTGGAATTTTAAAATCCAAGGGAGTGGAGGAAAAATACTCCTAGCCACATTTTCTTTCTTTGTGTGTGGGTTTGTGTGTTGAAAGTTGGCAGGATGTTTGGGCCACTAATTATAGAATTTGTGGACCTTTAAGAGAATAGTTTGGACCTGCTCGTCAGGTGGGTGTTGACATGCAGGAGATGTCCCATATGATTCATATAATTTTAACTGTTGCAGAAGGGGCAAGTCCTTGGCTTATGTCAGGATATGTCTAAACATTTGACTGTGTGACGATTGAGAGTCTGAGTATAATGTAAGGGTTAGGCTTTGAAAGGGGATGCATTTTTTTATTCAGAATTATTGCTAGTGTGGGTCTCATCATTAGAGAATTGTGCTGCATACGGTACATCAGTGGTTAGTTCTAGTGATACATCAATTTTTGCATAGTCTATTTGGTAGCTTGGTGCATTTGACATGTATCACCTAAAGAGAAATAATAGATAACAGATCTAGCTTATACAGGTTATTTCTCCCTTCTGTCGTTTTGAAAATGTTTGGGTCGACATACTTCACGTTAAATTCTAGTTTAGTGGCGCAACCAAGGACCAAACAGCATAAGAAATCGTTCTGCAATGGATCTGTTATCGGTTCTACGTTACTACTCTTATGGTGATACAGCCTAAAATATGCCTTGACGGAACTACAAGTTCAACATCAAGTTTGCTGCTGAACATGTGTTTAGTTGGTGTCTTTTATTACAAATATGAAATATGAACTGAAGAGTTCTTTAAGGGATAGTGGGTCCATTCTGCACCCTTTCTGTAACCTACAGAATAAACTATTCTGTTGCAACATATTCTAGACATAATGTTTTATTGTCTGCTAGCTAAATTTTTACACAAAGTATTTTTGGGACTATCGACATTTTACATAGCTTGTGTGGTCTAGTGCTTATCCTGTCCTTTGAAGTATTACAGCTTGACCTTGCAGTCCCACTTTCCCATCTTGCTCAATTCTGTGTGAATTTCAATCTGTTTTACAAGTGATGATTATCCTATTTTCATAAGCATATACAATGTGGGACATATACAGCAGCATTTGTTGTTCTTTTGAGGCTGTAAAACTTAAAGCATAGTATAGATATTCTGATTAACCCATCATAATTTAGTTGCTGTGAAAATTTCTGAAAATTACTCATTTTATATTAAATCTGCCTTTTAAGTGAATTGTAAATATATTCAAATATGCCTATCAAATAATTTTAGTATATGAGATATTATTGTATGTACATAAAATGAAACTATTTAAATATTGAGTTTTTATTTAGCAACTCAACAGACTGTTTACTGTACTGTCTTCATTTAATATTCCGTTGTCTTTTGTTTTCTCCACTTTGTGTGTGTGTGTGTCCGTGAGAGAGAGGGTGAGTGAGAGTGTTTGTATGTGTTGTATTTGTTGGATCATTGTTTGCATCTATGAGGCTTTTCCTCAATAGCTGGATTTATCCTATGAAGCTGAAAGGTAGTTTAATGCCTAGCTCTCTTTCAAAAGCTGATCAAGCTAGGTATATTATAACTTTGGCGTGAGCTCGCTTTAGCTTCACAGGATTAAATCCACCCTCTTTCATGCTATCATCTATCATCACTCTGAACCCTTGCTTCTGTCAACCTAAAGGCATAATAGGTATTTATGTTTGTGTATTTCTTCTACTTTCAGAACTATTTCAATTCTTTCATAAACATTGTGGGAACACAGGTAAGACAAAAATAATATGAATAGCTTAGCACTACATTCTGGACACTCCCCTTATAAATTCATTCGCACCTGTGTTTTGTAACCACCACATATTTTGGTTGCAGTGAATCCTCTTTCTCATATGAATTTTCTGATGTGTTTTCCCTGACTTCTTATTTTAAAATTTGCAATCTGGGCAATTCTTCTGAGTCTATGAGCTTGACATTCTCCCTGCTATAATTTTGGTGTGTGCTTTCTTGTTTGCATATTTTATTAATATTGTGTTTTCTTTTCGCATATATTTTTTACCTATCCATCGCCCTTTCTTAAGAAAAATAAATGTAATTTTTGTGTTGCAAGTGTGTTTTGATCAATTTTCAATCTTAGACACTAAAAGTTCGCAAGCTTAATCATGACTGCTTTATTGTAGGATTTATCATATTGTGAGTCATTGATTTTGGTTTCGAATAGTCTAGGGGACATTTTTAACAGTGTTCATATTATTATTTTACTTTTTTGGGATTTGTTTTGATTAGTAATGTAAGTTGCAGCTGTTAACATACATTGCCATACAGCTGATCTGTTTGTTATCAATCTTTCATTATTTTTATGCTGGAATTTTACAGTGATGCTAGATGTTGTTGAACCACAAAATTCATGAAATAGCCATTTAAACATTTGCACAATAAATTGGTCATAATTTGTACAAAATTGTTTGGGATTTCGTACAATGGTGAACGGAGTGTGTTGGAACCCTGAACAATTTTGTGTGTGAAGAATCTGGAAGGTGTTTTGTCCTTAAAGCATATTGTTGTCTGTCCACTCAGAAGGATTGGTTTATTTCCTCTCTATGTCTATATTTTATTTGAAATAAAAGAAATGCAGATTTGAAGTTTTAAATTGTGATATCTTCCAACACAAACCTTGGGGTAGGTTTCGCCCCTTACCCATGCCTTACCGAAAGGGGCCGCACAGACGACTCGCACGTGGATTGCCTACCCTCCAGGCGCTCTCTAGCCAACACTTCCCTGCCTATTTGTGGCCACAATGCTGGCGGCCAGAGTCAGCTTAATCCGACCCGACTATAGAACACACTTTTTCGAGTAATATGAAATCCGAAGCCTTCAGGGTAGAAGCAGAAGGCAAGGACCTACTCTGCTCATAATCCCCGATTATCTAATCTAACACAATGGGGCCCGGGGTCCCCCTCCAAACCTAAGGGATAGTATGTGTACTGATTGCCTACCCTTCAGGGAACGACCAATTCTACGCTGTCGCTGACTGCTAAATACAAAATAAAATAAAAGGGGAAGAAATATTTGTTTTTGTTCCCACAACATATAGCCTACCCTTTGTTGCGTTTTGAAGTGCTGGGAACAACATATCAAAAGATGGCAAAACTTTGTTGGGGTTCGTATGGTT